TTTCATCCAAACAGTGGTGTTGTTTAGGCCCATCAAGTCAACTACTACTCCTAACTGCCCTAAGAACAACAGATCTGAACCTTGCTCTATCATGCTGTGCCATCCGCATGAGCTCCAAAAGGCCTGAGCCCATTATTACAGTGTCAATCCGTCTTGTTAAGGGTCTTCCTCTCTTTCTCCAACCCTCTACCTTTCTCTGCATGATTCTCATTCCACGAGTGAGCTCTCCTGACAAAGGGCTAAAGTATGTGAGATGAAGCTTCACCATTCTTGCTTCTAAGGAGCATCCTGGCTGCACTTCTTACAAAAAGACTTATCCGTTCTTCTGCCAGTTCAAGAGATATTTAATACTCTTCTCTAACACCACAATTCAAATCCATTCTTCTGTCATCTTTATTCATTGTACAATTTTCAGATGCACAGAAAGCAAATGAAAATACTGTGGTTTAGATCAGGTGCATCTTAAGTCTTTAAACTGACATTCTTGCTCTTTTAGCACTCTGAAAAGCAGATTTTCTCAATATAACACAATTTTTTATTTCTTGACTGCTGCTACCATGGGTGTTAATTGTGAATCCAAGTAAGTAAATGACAACCTCAATCTTTTTTCTATCTATTATGATACTACTGTCTACTGTTCCACTGGTGAGAATTTTTGTTTTCTTGATATTAATACAAACTGAAGACTGTGGTCTTTGATTTTCTGCAAAAGACAGGGTGCTTTAGTGGCTTAATGACAAGGAGTTGCACTGCCAACCCAAATGCATGCAGTTTGAATCCACCAGTTGCTCAGGGGGAGAAAATGAGGCAAATTCTTCCTGTGCAATTTACTGCTGTGAAAATGCACTGATGTTAAGCTATGAGCTGGTTATAATTCCAGAGTACAAAACAACAACAGGCCAAAAGAATAACATTTGCCGATGGATCAATCTCTGAAGGCAGGAAAAAGGAGGACATGAGGATTAATGGAAATCAGAACTATAACAAAGTGGTTAAAGTACAATTATATTGTGAGTATTATAATTAATGTTCTAAACCAAAATGTGCATGAAAGGTTGGATGAAAACTTTTTAAAGAATTTTATATTGGTTGGCATATAAAATTTGTTTACATTGTGTTTCATTCATGAACATTGTATTTCACATATTCCTTCATTCATATGTTTCATATAATCATGTGTTTTATAACATTAATCACTACTGATCTATGCCGACTATTACTCTTTTCCCCAATGAATCTTTCCTATTTCCTTCACACCTTCCCTCTGCCCACCAAACTCTGCCATCTCTGTGATCCTCCCAACCCACACTCTGCCCTCTCAGCTGCCTTGCTCTTCCTCCTTCACAGTTTTATACACATCTTACTAGTTATCTTCTATTTTTACAATAATGAGCTTATACAGTATTTGTCCTTAGGAGACTGAGTTAACTCTCAACTCTCATGTTGTACTTTACAAAATTGTTGCTCCTTAAGGCTGCACAGAATTCTATTGTATGAATGTACTACAATTTCTCAATCCATTAGTTTGTTGATGGACATTTGGGCTGTTTCGACTTTCTTGCCATTATGAATGCTACTGTGAACAGGTGTACAATATCTTTGTTGGTGGCACAGTTAGTTCTACTTTCCTCAGTATACATTCCTAGTAGTGGAATAGCTGGGTCATATGGAATTTTTATATTCAGTTTTTTTGAGGAAACGCCAAGTTGCCTTCCTGACTCCCACCAGCAGTGTAAGACATTTCCAATCTCTCCACATCCTCTCCAACATTTATTACTTGCTATCCTGTTAAACTTTGCCACTGTTCCTGGGGTGAGATGGTATCTCATTGTGGTTTTGAGTTGCACCTCTCTTACTGCCAGTCACATTTCTCCATGTATCGGCTAGCTAGCCCAATGTCTTTTTTTATGAAAAGTCTTTCCATGTCTTTGTCTATTTTGTTATTGGGTTATCAATCTTTTCCTTGTAGAGGCCCGATAGTATGCTATAAACATTCATTATGAAACCCTTGACTGAAGGTCACTGCCATATGTTATTTTCCTAGTATGAAGGTTTTCTTTTCACCTTACTGGAAAGTTTATGATACACACAGGGCTTTAATCTTTCGAAGGCCCATTCATCAATCTCATCCCTTCCTGTTTGAGCATTTCTGGCTATATTAGAAAAATCTATTTATACTACTGGCTAGACCTTCTAAGTTTGATCTCATTTTGTCTCTTATGATCTTTATGGTTTTGAGCTTTACCTCTAGATCTCTAATCTACCTTGAGTTGATTTTTCTTTATGTTGTGAGAAGGGGATCCTGTTTTAGCATTCTGCAGGAAGATGTTCAGTTCTGCCAGCACCATTTTGTTGAAGAATTTGTCATTTCCTGATTTGATATACTTTATTCCCTTTCAAATGAGGAATACCAATGGACGATGGGTGGATGGGTTAATTTCTAGGCTTTTGATTCTATTCCATTGATCTATGTATCTGTCATTGTACCAGTATCATGCTGCTTTGGTTACTACAGCTGTATAGTAGGTTTTGAGATCAGAGAGTGCATTTGGAGTTAATAATTATTAATCTGACCACAATAAATTTAGAGTCTGCACATGGACTGCACAAAATGCTGTATTACATAAGACCACTGTTATGTGCCATCAAGTCACCTGCGACTCACAGCAACTCTATGTATAACAGCTTAGAATCTTGTCCTATCCTGAGTGAGTCTCACTAACTCCAGCACACCTAGTTATCGTGTCAATCCATTATATCCAAGGTCTTCCTCTCCTGCTCTGTTCCTCCACCCTTCCAAGCATGACGTCCTTCTCTAAGGACAAGGCCCTCCTGCCACATGCGCAAATATGTGAGACAGAGCTTCAAAATCATTGCCTCAAAAGAGAAATTTAGTTTCACTCTAAGATAGACCTATTTGTTCTCTTGGCAGTCCATGGTATGCTCAATACTCTTCTCCAGCACCACAACGCAAAGGCATCAATTCTTCTGTCATTCTTAGTCAATGTCCAGCTCTCTGATGTAACTGCGAAGACCATGGCCTGGATCAGGCGTCCCTTGGTTTCTAAAATGACATCACTGCTCCTCAGCACTCTGGATAGGTCCCTGACAGTAGACTTCCCAATGCAATTTGTCTTTTGATTCCCTACTGCTGGTTCCAAGAGTGTTGATTGTGGAGGTCAGCAAGCTGAAATTGTTAACAACCTCGATTTAATCTCCATTTATTATGGTGAAGTCAATTGGCCCAGTGGTTAAGAATCTTTGTATTCTGGATGTTAAGCATCAGGTACACAATATTAAGAGCATGAATTAGGCAGAACAATAACAGTCAAAGAGAAAAAAGATTCAAAGGATATTTAAAAATGGCAACAGATTTATAGCAATGCTTCTCGAACTATCTGTGGTGAAAGGCTGACTGTTACGGAAAACTTATTTTGTTATTGTTGAGTATCATGAGTGGAACTGATCCAGAGTTGACCATCCAGGTTTTTAGAGGCAGTAAATCCACAGGAGGAGAGTGACCACCATTCTCCCAAAGAACAGCTCTTGAATTCAAACCACATTTATTTGTGTTGGTGGCACATTTCTAATTTTACTAAGTCACCAGAGCTCCTTAATGGAACAATAGTTTTGTAAAATGACAGACAAATGAATTAATAAAACCTCATTGCCTCTGTAGTAGAATCCTGTTCATATTATTCTTCCATAAAAGCTGTGCTGCCATCCCAAAAGTATGCAGTTTGAATCTAACACTACTAGATTCAAAAGACATGAAGTAACCCTGGTTTCTGGACTAATTGTGATTTGCTAGATACTGTTCTTGTCTGTTGTTGTCAGAAATGACTTAAAGCTGGCCCTCTAGTGGATTTTTCAGAGGCAGAAAATTGCATGGGAGGAAAATGCCTAGCCTTTTCTCACAGAGCAGCTGGTGGATTCGAACTCTGTGCCTTTGGTATGGAAGTGTAGCTCCTCACCAGTTAAGTTAGGGAAGGTATTACTGTAGAATATGGATTTTTAGGCAGACTCAATGAGGGAAATAATGAGAAAACTGTCCTAGAAATACAAGACATTTTCTATACAGGGTTTTCCCATCATCTTTATTTTACTATAATAGAGCTTGAAAAAAGAGGCCAGGTATTACTAATTTAGAAACTGCCTAACATTTAGAGAAAACAATGTCCAAGGCTAAATCATTTAAATATTCTTAAATATGAATTATTCAACATCAACTGCAACCAATTATAATAATGATACATAATTTCTAGCTCCTCATATTGATATAAATTTTCTTTTTGACATGCAAACTCACACAATATATCCATTCTACTGAATAAACATCCTTGCTGGTGAGCTCACAGTGATTTTAATTGTCCTTATGTTCTTTAAATTTGTGACATAAATCTTGGGTCACCAGCTGGAGACAAAGAATGATTCTATGTGACGTGACATTAGAGATTGATGACGCTTGATTGGACAAGTAGAAGCCCATCTTTTTAGTAATGGGGAAGATCAGAGCTCCCAATGGATGTAAGAAATTTAAATCAGAGACTTAATAAACAGATAAAGTCAAGGCAGTACTGTCAGATAATTAAGGAAGAAGAAAGGCTCTGACAATGGGAACAAATCTGCAGCTAATGGCAGAGATGGCTTCTGATGATATAATAACTCATTTAATTATGATATTCTACTTAAGTCACTGGATGCCCTAAGTGACATTCTAAAAGAACAGCAGTATCAACAATACACAGTTTAGAGTCCACATTTGATAATTCAGGTGATGTTTGTATGTGATGATATCTTTACTAAGGAGATTTAATTCGTTAACTGCAAAGATGATGAAAACTTAATCTATAAAACTTTAGTTAAGTCCTAGATAAACAGAATCCTTTATCAAGGTCTGGCAAATATAAGAGTTCTAAATGTAAAGATTCATTTACTTTTAATAAAATAAAAAGGGAAATTAATTAAAAATTAAAAAGTTAAAATATGCTTTGACTTACCCAAAAGGATCGCCAACCACAAGAAATGCAACATCACTAAGGTCAGCATCTTTTAAAATATTATCCGCTGCTTGTTCTACTTCTTCTCTATCAGCAAGAATCAGTTTTCTTCCATAAAAATCCTCCTGTAGATTTAAGTCCAAAATCCAAATGAGAGACAGCAGGTGACCATTTCAACGCACACAAAACAATCTTTGTCTGAGACTGCCACAAATTCTGGCAAGCTTCCAAACACAAATCATTGAATACAACTCATCAATGAGCTGGCACTCTGTATCAGGCTGCAATTAAACTCTGTCTTTGGGGCTATCTTAATATCCCAAGAGAAGGCAGACTTCTTAACATCTGAGTCTTTTTGCATTTTAAATTTCTTTCTAAATTTGGTTCTAACAGACCAGGCAAAACTCAGTAGGATGAACTGTGAATATATATAAGCCTTTCTTCAGAAGAATACAAAACACTAACTATAGGAAGGGTTTTATTAATCTTGCTATGGGAAAAATCGATGGGACCTTGACTAACACAAAAGACAGCTGCATTGGAAAAGAAAATAAAAATTTAGTTGTTTATGAGGCTACTAGGTATGCCTGTATAATGGCAGGAAAAAACAATTTAAAACTGAATACCTAGGTTTTGCCATAAAAGCAGTACTACAGGGAGGAAAAAAAAAATTCCAAATAATACAAAAAAGTCTCCATTAAAAACTGCTTTGTGAATTAATCCTCTAAAATTCAAATCCAGAGAACCAATTCAGCTGGCCAACTTAACTGGCATGACAGCATATAAGAAAGGACAGAGGAAGTTAATATGTCAGTAGTTATAAGCTATTATGGAGATCATGAATATTATAACGTATTTCCTATACAGTAATCTGCAACTGACTAACAGTGAGATGGGGAGGATGGTGCAGGATAGGGCAAAGCTGGCACCTGGTGTTCCTAGGGTCGCTGAGTCACAGTCGATCTGAAGGCACTTAACAACAAAAGGAGATGCAGAAATACCTTTTCCCCCCACAGATTCTGTTAGACTCATTTAAAGTTTTAAGAATCACTATTGTGGAAGAAGATCTGGTCCTCAGTAATATTTGTCAAAAAATGAATAAATAATTAAGTATCCAAAGATAAAGGGTATGGTTACAACTTTGCTAATTATTTCCTAATAATTAATGAGAACTTTTGGTTTCTATACATATCATGTCCTTGCATAACATGTCTGACCTCTCATCATTCGTGTTCAATGTAAGCAAATCTATTTTTGAGATAATCTCAAAATCCTGGTAGGATATATTCCAGACTGTACTTGAGCTTCTGTGGACTTGTTTTCATTTTTTTCAGTATTAATTTGGACTTACATATGAGCAACTCATGGTCTTTTCCTTAGTAAGCCCTTGGCCTTGTTCTAACTGATGCTACTGATCATCTCCAATGTCTCTTTCCAGAGGTAAATTCATTTTATTCCTGTGTATTCCATTCTCTCCTCCTCTGTGGGACATACTGGGGCTCCTGATGCTAATTAAGGGCTCAAAAGTTACAGTGAGACTGGAGTCTGAAAATCAAAAAGGCCAAACTCACTCAGCATTTCTTAAGCTAAAGGAAATAAAGAACAAATTCAAGCCACAAGTTCCAATGTTTAAGGATGTTATGGGCAGTACACTGAATGATTTAAGAAGAATTAAAAGAAGATGGAAGGAATATAAAAAGTCACTGTGCCAAAAAGAATTGTCTGACACAGGAGAATTTCAAGAAACAACAAATGATCAAGAGGCAATGGTGATAGAGGAAATTCAGACTGCTCTGAAGGATTTGGCAAAAAATAAAGCCCCAGAATTGATGGAATATCAATTGACATATTTCAACAAAACAGATGCTGTCCTGGATGTGCTCACCAGGTTTCCTGGCCAACGGACTGGAAGAGAGACATATTTATTTCCATTCAAAAAAAGGTGATCCGATAAGAGTGTGGAAACTATCATACAATATCACTCAAATCACACAGAGGCAAAATCCTAAAGATTATCCCCAAACAACTGGAACAGTACTTTGACAGAGAAGTACTAGAAATACAAGCTGGGTTTAGAAGAGGCTACGGTACTAGACATTATTGCCAATGTAACATGTATCTTGGCAGAAAACAAAGAGTATCAAAGGGATATTTATCTGTTTCATTGACTATGCAAAGGCATTTGACTGTGTGGATCACAACAAATTGTGGTTAACCTTGAGGACAATGGAAATCCCAGACCACTTCACTGTGCTTATGTGAAACTAGTACTTGAACCAGGAAGCAATCCTCAGAACAGAGCAGAGAAACACTGCATGGTTCAAAATCAGAAAGGTAGTGCGTCAAGGATGCATGCTGTATCCATACTTTTTCAAGCTATATGCACAACAGATCATTAGGCAGGCTGGGCTTTATGAGGAGGAAAGTGGCATCAGGATTGGAAGATGATTCATCAAATAATCTATGTAATGCAGATGACACAAAACTGAAGAAGACCTGAAGCACTTGTTGCAAAAGGTCAAGGACTAGCAGCCTTCAATATAAACTGAAGCTCAACATCAAGAACACAAAGATTATCACCACTGGGCCAACTGGAAACACCATGATGGATGGAGAAGAGACTCAGGTTGTTAATAGTTACAGCTTGCTCAGCTCCACAATCAACACTCCTGGCACCAGCAGTCAGGAAATAAAAAGATGAATTGCATTGGGAATATCTGCTGTCAGGGACCTTTCCAGAGTACTAGAGAGCAAAGATGTCAGTCTAGAGACTAAAGTGGACCTGTTCTAGGTCATGGTCGTCACAATTTCTTGCTATGCATCAGAGAGCTGGATAATGACTAAGAATGACAGAAGAAGAATCATGCCTTTGAGTTGTGGTGCTGGAGAAGAGTGAACATGCCGTGGTCTGCTAAGAAAACCAGTAAGTCTGTCTTGGAGAGGGTGAAACCAATTTTTTCTTTGGAGGCTAGGATTTTGAAACTCCATCTCACTCACTTCAGGCATGTAAAGGGGAGGGACTCATCCCTGGAGAAAGACATCCTGCTTGGAAGGGTGGAGGGACAGCACAGGGGAGGAAATACCCAGATACCCAGATGAGATGGAATGATACAGTACCTAGGGAAATGAAGATAGGTATGTCAGAGTGAGTGAGACTGCCTCAGGTCAAGTTAGGATTCAGAGGTCTTGTACAAAGAGCAGGCAACTCGATGGCACAAAACAATAATTTCACCCTTGGTTCCACAATCAATACTCTTGGAACCAGTAGGTAGGAAATCAAAAGACAAACTGGATTAGGAAAGCTTGCTGTCAATGACCTTTTCAGATTACTGAAAAGCAACAATATCAGTCTAGAGACTAAAGTTTTCCTAATCCAGTCTATGGTCTTTGCAATTACTTGCAATGCATCTGAGAGCTGCATAATGAATAAGCATGACAGAAGAAGAAATGATGCCTTTGAATTGTGGTGATGCTGGAGAAGAGTAGTGAACATGCTTCCTAGAGAACAAACAGGTCTATCCTGGAGAATGTGAAGCCAAGTTGCTCTCTGGAGGTGAGGATCTTGAAGCTCCATCTCACATACCTTGGGCATGTTGCCAAGACGGACTGGTCCTTGGAGATGGACATCATTCTTGGAAGTATGGAGGGACAATGCAGAAGAGGAAAGAAGAAATGGATTGACATAGTGACAGGAGTACTAGGGGAAAGTATATCAGAGACAGTAAGAGTGGCTTAGGATAGGACAGGGTTCAGAGGTATTGCATACAGGGTCATTATGAGTTGACGGCACATAACAACATTCCATCCTGTGAGGTCCATGTGTATAACTGCCATTTACATCATTTAGAAAGTTGTTTCCAATCAAAAGACTACTGGTCTTGTAATAAAGACCAACTTTGTTTCCAACTTTCACATCCTAATTTAGCAGTATTTATCAATACATACTGATTGCAAGTTTGGTCCTTTCAGACTGCAGAAGTCAGTAATTTCAGAAATCTTCAATTTCTTCTTTTTTGGCACCAGTGACTGGTAGGTAAGTTTGGCAGTATTTATCAATACATACTGATTGCAAGATTGGTCCTTTCAGACTGCAGAAGTCAGTAATTTCAGAAATCTTCAATTTCTTCTTTTTTGGCACCAGTGACTGGTAGGTAAGTTTGAATTTCTGCTGTTGTTATATTCTATAGAATGAAAACCAACTTATAGCTGGTTCTCCAGGGAGTTTTCAGAGGCTATAAATTGCAGGAGGAGACAGTCCATTGGTCTTCATTGCTGGCTTATGGATATTATCCTGTCACTACAGTCCTGAAATTCAGAATGGATCTTGAAATGTTCTGGTAATGAAAGTGATGCCATTCCTCTTTGCACTGCTGACCATGTAACTGTCCAATTAAAAATTGTCAATGTTGTCTATTTCAGCTCACTAATGCTTGGGGCTTTATTGACTATTCAAAAGCAATCGACAGTGTGGATAATAAGAAATTATGGAAAACATTAAGAAGAATGGGAATTTCAGAACACTTAAATGTGCTCATGCAAAACCTATACAAAACAAAGGAGCAGTTATCTGAACAGAACAAGGAAAACACTGCATGGTTTAAAAGTGAGGAAAGATGTGCAGGGTTGTATTCTTTCTTCATATATGCAGATGACACATCCTTGCTTGCAGAAAGTGAAGGCGACTTAAAGCACTCACTTTCAAAGATCAAAAGACTACAATCTTCCATATGAATTAAACCTTAACATCAGGAAAACAAAACAACTCATCAATGACCCAAAAGACTACTGTGATAGGTGGAGAAAAGACTGAAAATGTCAATGATTTCATTTTACTTGGATCCTTCAATACCCACTGTAGGAGAAGGTCAGAAATAACAACACTGGGGTACTGCACTGGGGAAATCTGCTGACATGGTTCTCACCAACGTGAAAAAGAACAAGGAAATCAACTTGAAGACTAACACATGTGATCCAACCCATGGTATTTTCAATTGTTTCAAATGCCCACAAACGCTGGACAATTAATAAGGAAGACAAAAATACTGATGTTTTTAAATTGAGGTGTTAGAGTACTGAATACACCATGGATTCCCAGAAGAACAAATCTTTTTTTGAGAAGTACAAC